ACTGTGCATGATAATGTTTCATGGCATCCATTGTCTCAGTGTAAAGACAGGCTCTTTGGAAATCCAACTGTCCCAACGAGTTGAAGTCATCTGGGCCTGCACTCCCTCCACAATTCCAAACAGCAGCTAGTCATGGATAGATCAAACAATAAAGAAAAGGAGGTTTTCCATACATACCACAAAATTCTAATGTATTTACATATCCAATACCTAAATCTTTATATTTACTCAACTCTAATATCTAAATCAAATAAAAGTATATGCTATCCATTGCAAATCACCATTTGTTAAAGATTGGTTGTGATGGACTCGCAGGCTATCGAAAACCCCATTTTTTATAGATATTTCATGGTTTGCAATAAACAGTATTCGTTGCTAATAACTTGTTTTGCTATCACAGAGACATCATTTGACATAAACAACCCACTGCTTCCCATCAAGAATCATATGTAACCCTACATCCTCTTCTCAAGCTCTCTTATCAAGAAGACTCCACCATCACTTAACTCCACCTAAGATGAAAGGTTCGTCATCTTCTATAGAAAACCTCGTTCTATTCCATATGAAAGTATTTATCCTTAATTGGTCAAAATATTCCAGATGAATATAAGAGGTTATCACTCAATTTTCTAATTTAATGCCAACCATGTTTATACCATGGTATTGTGCACCCACGGCATTTATTAACATGCTAAGAAACATTGGGACATGCTTAGGAGATCAAGAAATTTTTTGGTTTACTAAACTTTTTAATATTATTTTGAAGACTAAAAAGATGTCGGATGAGATGAGTAGAGAATGAGTGTATTGATTCTTTTTTTTTTAAAATAAAGATGATGCACAAGATTTTGTGAATTAAAAAGGAATTAAGTTAATGTGTCATACTTTAAAATTATATATGGGAGAGAGTTATGTAGCATAGGTTGCGGCGTGATATTAATGTTTATCAAAATCAATTTGGATTCAGACTGGGTAGGTCTACTATGGAAGCTATACATTTATTGAGAGGTTTGATGGAAAAGTATTAGAGAGAATAAGGAGGACCTACATATGATATTTATTTATTTAGAAAAAAGCATATGATAAAGTTTCAAGAGAAGTGCTATGGAGAGTTTTAGAGAAGAAAGGGGTAATAATGCTTATAATCAAGTCATTAAGGATATGTATGCAAGAGCTATTACTTGTGTTCAAACACAAGTTGGTTTGCCAAGTATTTTTTTTATTTCAATTGGATTATATCATGGATTAGTCTTAAGCCCATAGCTTTTTTGCTTTAGTCATGAATGTTCTCACTAGACATTTGCAAGAGGTTGTACCCTGGTGCGTGCTTTTTGCTGATGATATTCTTCTTGTTGATAAGACTAGAGAGAGTTGAAGGTAAACTTGAATTATGGAGGTCAACCTTAGAGTCTAAAGGCTTTTGTTTAAGTAGATCTAAAATTGAACATACAGAGTGTAATTTTAGTAATAATATATCTAGTTGAGTGATTATAACTTTGGGCGATCAAGTCATTACTCAGAGTACACGTTTTAGATATTTACGGTCTATTTTTTAAAGTGATGGTGAAATAGGTGAGGATATTATTAGTAGAATTAAAGTTGGATGGTTGAAGTGGAGAATGCATCGGGCTTGTTGTGTGATAGAAAGGTCCCCCTCAAACTTAAGGGAAAAAACTCCATAAGATGGTGGTGAGACCTGCAATGTTTTATGGTGCAGAATGTTGATCATTAAAAGAGAAGCATAATACTAAGTTAAATTTTGCAAAGATGAGGATGCCCAGGTTGACGAGTGCTTTACTACTCTTAGAGACTGATGTAATAAAAAATAAGCAAAAAATTAGGTCAGCCCTATTTTTTTGCTAGAAAAGACATTTCCTTACTAGGATAAAGAAATTACATAAAGACACTTTTGAAATAAAAAAAACAACAATTTTATATCATATAAAACGACCATACAACCAAAGAAACTTACAAACGACTAAAACAAAATACCTAAAGATGCATTCATCCACTGAGAAAAGAAAGATACAAGTGGGGAGGATTATTGCGGATAGAAGAAGAGGCTAGAAGCCAAGACGAAACATAGGAGAAGCTCGCAAGCATTCCCAAGAAGAAGATAAGAGAAAAATGGAACAAGCTCGCAAGTTTTTCAAAAAAAAAAACCCTCAAATTTTCTATTCCAAAAATCACATTATAACACTTTTTTATGCTTCAGAACATCTCCTATATATAGGGAAAAGAGGGCAGCCTAACAGCCCCTTAAAGCATTAATTAAAACCTATTAGATTTAGGGAAATGAAAGGCCAACAACCACCAAACAGCAGCGCCAAAACCAGCATACAACAGCCCTTAAATCAACACAGAAAACAGGGGAAAAAGGGCCACGGGAAACCAACCAGCAGCCACGAGAAACCCAGCCAGCAGGGGTCCCGAAAAGCCACACAGGAACCGAAGCAGAGAGGCGCAGAAACCAGCCAGGGAACCACGGGAAAACCAGCAGCAAGGGACCCGAGGAGTCACACAGAGAACAGAGCAGCAGGCACAGGAAAACAACCACAAAAAACCAAAGAGACAAAGGGGAAGGGAAAGAGCAAGGATCACCTCATTATGAGCTACCAACTTAGCACAAAAATGAACTAAACTTCAGCTCATAATGAGCTATCCATCAGCTCAAGCATTAATGAGCTAAAATTAAGTAGATTTTCTAATACAATAGCTCAAAATCAAGAAGTAAAAGGCCCAAACCGAGAGCACTAGCAGCCCAAGGGTCAAAAAAATTCTCATATTGTTTTGAGCCCCCCTTTGCATGCATCAGATACTCCCCTACTTGAAAAATTTATCTCCTGATGAGTTGTCTTTAGATTTCTTCCGAGAAGGCGAAGAAGGGGTATCAAGCTCTTGAATCTTAGCCTCGTATTTCTTCAAAATCTTCTCACATTCTTGCTTGAATTAGTCCTGCAAAAATTTCTTTTTCTTCTCGAATTTCTCTAAACACAAGAACATTTGATATTAAATTTTATACAATTAGTTTTGTATTGGATTTGTAGAACTTCCTTGCGATGGAATCCCTTCTACAGTTGGAATCTTCACATCCGGAATAGTTGGTTCATTTGTAACTTTGGCGGGGTCAAATTCTCCTTGGGACTCATTTGAATCTTGATCTGAAGGATGATTACATGGACTATCCATATAGACTCAAAACAAAAACTCAAAAAAAAAAAAAAAACTCTTATGCCACCAAGACTCAAATAACAACACTTGACACACCGGGATTTGATAACATGCTCTGATACCAAATTGATGTAATAAAAAATAAGCAAAAAATTATGCCAGCCCTAATTTTATGCTAGAAAAGACATTTCCTTACTAGGATAAAGAAATTACATAAAGACACTTTCGAAATAACAAAAACAACAACTTTATATCATATAAAAAGACCATACAACAAAAGACACAAACGACTCAAACAAAATACCTAAAGTTGCATTTATCCATTGAGAGAAGAAAGATACAAGTGGGGTGGATTCTTGCGGATAGAAGAAGCGGTTAGAAGCCAAGACGAAACATAGGAGAAGATCGCAAGCATTCCCAAGAAGAAGAGAAGAGAGAAATGGAACAAGCTCGCAAGCTTTTCCAACAAAAAACCTCAAGTTTTCTATTCCAAAAATCACATTATAACACACTTTTTTATGCTTCAAAACATCTCCTATATATAGGGAAAAGAAGACAGCCTAAAAGCCCCTTAAAGCATTAATTAAAACCTATTAGATTTAGGGAAATGAAAGGCCAACAGCCACCAAACAGCAACTCCAAAACCAGCATACAACAGCCCTTAAATCAGCACAGAAAACAGGGGAAAAAGGGCCACGGGAAACCCAGCTAGCAGGGGTCCCGAAAAGCCACACATGAAGCAAAGTAGAGAGGCGCGGAAACCAGCCAGGGAACCACGGGAAAACAAGCAGCAAGGGACCCGAGGAGTCACACAGAGAACGAAGCAGCAGGCACAGGAAAACAGCCACCAAAAACCGAAGAGACAAAGGGGAAGGGGAAGAGCAAGGATCACCTCATTATGAGCTACCAACTTAGCACAAAAATGAACTAAACTTCAGCTCATAATGAGCTATCCATCAGCTCAAGCATTAATGAGCTAAAATTAAGTAGATTTTCTAATAAAATAGCTCAAAACCAAGTAACCAAAGGCCCAAACCGAGAGCACCAGCAGCCCAAGGGTCAAAATAAATTCTCATATTGTTTTGACCCCCCCTTTGCATGCATCAAAGACATGATACGAAATGAGCATATCCACGAAAAGAATAGAGTAGCACCAGTGGAAGATAAGAATAAAAAAAAGTTTCATTAGATGATTTGGTAACATAAAGAGGCGGCCTTCTGCTGACCCAATTAGAAAAGTAGACGCATTAGATTTGACTTATGTTAAGATAGCTAAAGGTAAACCTAAAAAGACTTGGTTAGAAAATATTAGAAATGACATTTATTTATTAAATTTAAATAAGAATTTAACTATTAAAATGATACAATGGAGAAAAAAAAATTCATGTAGCCGACCCCACATAATAGGATGAAGACTTGATGTTGTTATTGTTGTTAACAAACATTGGGATATGCACTATTTTAAACAACTTTGCACAAGGTTAAAAGGACAACCTCAATCAAATATTATAATTGAGTGATTCATGTGGCTAAGTATTAGGATAATTTGTTGCAAAGTAATAATTTGCATGATCCTTCCCAGAGATATTCAATAAATTCTATAAATCAAGCTTCGACCACCACAAAAAAAAAAATCTCAACTGCACCATTAAATGCATCGAAGTAAAAAAATCTAATTAACAGATGTGCTGCAGGAATTGATTGTGTTGTAGAAGCAACAAAACAGGCTGAGTTATAGTTCAGTGCATACAAAGCAAGTTAGAATCTATTTTTAAGGCCAAATACTAGAATACTGAAAGATCCTAGACGTATATAGAGAAATATCCAATAAAAAATCAAATAAAACAACTGAAAACTTACCCATTATAAAGAACTCTTGCATTCAGAATACCATCACTTTGGAGAGTTCGATCCACGACAGCAGCAGAAACTGAAGATTCACAATTACTGCTACATCTGGCTAAAGCTCCCTCTAAAATCTTCACCAATCTTTTAAAATAAGCTTTGTGACATGAAAAAACCTTCAAGGCCTGCACCACAAGATGTAATAAGAAGCTGCATAGAGGTTCTTTTTTTAAAACATGTATAAAATTAATCTTCGTACAATGTCCACCATATTTGTAAAAGCTCAGTTTTTTTTTAATTACCGAAAGATGATTACTTTAGATGAAATAATATCATGGTCCCATCCACAATAAATAAACATAAACCTAAATTAAAATCTTTAACGGGCATTTCAAAATATTTCTTTTGCATGTGTCCTCACAAATATGACTAAAAGCTCACCAATAAGCTCAGAAGTACTCAAATGACAAGGAAAATTTGTTCAATAGATTCAAATAGCCAATCAAATCCAGCCTAAATCAAAATACAATTGATAAGAGAAGTGACATGGGCTACATATTCTAACGCTAAAAAATGTAATATTTTCTTAAAGCTAGAGAAGCGTCTGACTAGATGTTTGAATTTCCCATCTTCTGATAGAGCAACAAAAATTTATTTCTCAAAATTTCAGCAAAATAAAATGGTTTGCTTTTAAGAAAACTAAGCTCTTTCCATTAAACATGTAATTCTTGTATCTAACTTTCTCCCAATGAACACTATCTATTAATTTCAACATTTGAGAATGATCAAACTAATGTCAAAAAGAAACTGGCTAAATGATTTAATAAGATATTTTAATCTGTGAATTCTTAGATAAATGAATGTTAAAATGGAAGATCATGACCCCTTTGTAAAACAAAGAAAAAAAGCTTCCTGTTTAGAATTCATAACTTACCTGTAGTTGACTTTTTTTTATCATTCAACACTTCAAGAAGATATAGCTTGTGAGTAGTATAGTTAAAATAGAAGACTTCAATCTTCTAAAGAAAAGGCAAAGGTTCAAATTCCTTACAAAAGTTTAAGAGGATTTAATTTTAACTAAAATATGATAAATATACAAAGATCCAAAAATAAAGAAAATAAGTAATACATATATAGAGAGATAACTGTGTGATTTCATTATATATTATAATGAAACAAGGGCCTTAATTGAAGTTATTAGTATACTAAGTCTTGGATAAGAAATAAGGGTCGAGATAAAGATCATAAAGGTCCACTAACTCTTTACGAAAGGCTAAAATGGTCCCCGTCTATTTAAAAATCTCACTTTAGTCCCTTGGCTTTTTAAATAGTGACCTAAATGATCCCACGGAACGAATATTTTGGACTCTATTTAAAGAGTCAAGGGATCAAATTAATACTTTCCTGTAGTGGAAGACTATTTTGGTTCTTTAAAAAAAAATTAAAGAACCAATACGATCTTTTTCTTAATAAGGATTATATAAGATTGGTCAAAAAATTTATGGGATATGAAAATTATTTCTCTTTCTTTCCAGAAACAATCTAATTGAGTTTCATACAAATCATAAGAGAAGCTTGAAATGTTCAATACAGATGAAAACCTGTGTTCTTTAAAAAAAAAATCTCAAGTGAAGAGTAATAATGTGTTTAAATAAATAAAGTTCGAACTCATAAAAGGAAGGAAAATCAAGGATGAAATGTTAATTGCAAGTGAAGCATCTAACTTGAAATATGAATGTGATAGATTGATTATGATTTACACATAACAAACATAGGCTAGTAAAGTTTTCAAGTGAAGCAAGAAGCATAAGCTTCAATTTTATATAACTTTCGGTTCATTGCTTTAATTAGCCTTGCGAGACAGACTCCCATCAAACCTCAAAAAGGGAAGCCTTGAAGCAGGTTTTTAAAAAGCCATGCTTGATATCCATAAGGATCAGAAACCCAACAGAAAAATATCAAATGCATAATTAAGGAGATAACTCCAGTACCTAACATACTTTCACTGACTAGCGGAAATTCCCATTATTCAAAATCCAATAAAGATCCAAATAAAAACTCTCCCTTCATGTGCATAAATATATTGGTATGTAGTAGAAGGTTATCATCACTAGCCTGGAGTTTTTACTTAGATATTGGATGAATTTTTTCTCATGGGAATGTGCCAGTTAACATTGTGGAAGTGTCGGGTGATGATAATAGATAAATATTGATGAATTTTGGTTGTCTTAGGAGGACAATAACCAACTTGTTCTTATTCAGACATCCATGCTACAATCTTCAATACAAGAATAAAACAATCCATTCTTCAATCTCATAAACCAGGTGACATACAAGATTTCTCCAATTTAAGATCACTCATCATACATTAGTTGCATTGAATAATTTATTTGGATGATTTTGATTATATGATAGGAGAAGCTTAATTTCACTACAATTTCAGATGGGGTTTTCCTGATAATTAGCACATGTTTGATACTTTTTATTTATGCAATAGACAGGAAGCGGAACCATTTCTTTTATGGATTGGGAGGTGGGGTGGGGGAATCCACAAGGTGTTGGTTCAGCCACATTTTCTACCAGATCGACAGTTATATAATTATGATGTTTATGATACTAGATAAACAAGCACTTTTCATAATGTAGATTAAACAAAAATATATATTTTGAGCTTAAGGCTAATAGAAGATGGTTAAAACATATACATGATACCAACATCATCATTAGAATTATTTTAACCATCTGGAGTCAGCTTTGTAAATCATCATACTCCACTCATTGCAATTAAGTGCTACATGAGGTTCTAACTCTCACTAACTAACTTTCTAATCAGGCTATCCATTTCCTTCTTAATCGTTACATATTCATTCTAGCTGCTTGACTTAGCAATGAAGTTTCTATCCTCTTGATGCATAAATGGATGAAGTTGGCAAGAATGACTGAAAAACTGATATGCATATGTAACAATATCAATCAACCTTTTAGGATAACTACTGGGAAAAAAGAGGAAAAAAGTAACAGTGGAAAAAACATGAGAAAAGAATCTTATGCCACATACCATGAACCACAATCCCTCAGCTTTAGAAAGAGAAAGCCTATTAAGCACACGTTCAAGGAGTTGAAATATGTAGTTGAGATCATCGTTACTCATGGAAGAAGTTTTATTTGCAAGACATTTTATCTCTAAGGAAATCCTCAGCAACCATACAGTGGAAGCCTCTGAAAGTTTACCACTGCTGAGCTTTTCAGCCACTTTTCTTGCTTTATCTATTTTTCCAGCTTGCAAGTAGAATAAAATGTACTGGTAAGCAAGATCCTCAATAAGACAACCAGTTGATTCAGCTTTTTCATATGCTCTCTTCAGAAACAAACTGAACTCCGAAACTTCAAGCCCAACATTATGCACCATACTCTCAGGACATGCCACATCAATCCAGAACTTCACAAAGAGGGAAAACATCTTCACAGACGGTATAACATTCAAAGCCTCCTCATAAACCTGTAAATTGGATAACATTGGATGAGCATTCTGCAATAGATAGTCGCCTCAGCTTCCAAGAACAGTAGCATTGGCACATTAACCATAAAAAAATAACAATAGTATAGATTAAGACTAACAATGCGGAATGACTCATAAATCTGTGAACTAGAAAAAAACTAATAATGGTAAGATAGGTATACTATTTTTAGACAGTTAGTGCAACTGCGCTTTCAAAAAACATCATCTTTGACAAAAATAAAGCAGATACAAATAACAATATAATTGGTTAAGACAAACAAGATAGAATTTAGTGTAAAAACCACTTGACCTATCTCGCTTCCTCCATTTCACGATCCACTCCTTCATTTAAGCATATTATTTATCCAAAGCTAGTGTTCCGCAGTACCGGACATAAACTAGTTCATAGGAATCGTGTTGGGAAACCCCACAAATTTAACAAGACGACATTAGGTCCAACAAGTAATATAGCTATCCCCTTTTTTGTGGTATAGATTAAGATGTTTAATTTTGTCATGCTGAGGTAGAATTTCATGACTGAACATCATTAATCAACCCCTCTAACTTGAATAATGCTTCTTATAGAAGGAGAAACAGAATTAGAAGGTTCTATTTTTAGTCAAACACCATTGCTGATGAAACCTGCTTCATTGTCAAACTGCTGGACTATAATGATATATTTATATCATTAGAAGCTCATTGTATCACACATGACACAACATTAACCGCTTGCATACTGAGACACTTCAAGACAACATGTGAACAGACAGTTTGGTATATCTTTCTTTTTACTCTACTATAAAATTACCAACACCGTACGACACACAGAAAGGACACTTGGAAACAATTGTCAATCAGCCCCTCTTTGTTAGACGTTACTTTGTTTTGGGAATTTTTCTTCACATCAATCTATGGATCTACTTGTTCCTTCCTCTCTTTGGCTCGATAAAGCCAGTTCATATTGCAGGGTATGCAGATTAAAATAACTTATGGTAATGCAGATGCTAATCATGGCATCTATTTCTAACACTTAAAAAGAAACTTGCAATAGGATTCAATAGGAATTGGAGTCCCACACCCCACTAACAAACCAATGAGAAGTTCATAGCATTACATTGATCCCAATGTATTTTCCAAGAAAGTACATCTTAAATTCACAGTTTGAAATCTATCAAGTTTGAAATTGTTGTGTGGTTACAATTATTTCTTTCCCTTCCCTTGAAAGTAACTTTTACTTTTCATTTTTAATGTTCTACAATGTCTGCTAATTAAAATAATATATTAACTCAAAAATTAAAGATTAGTGCAACCTCATACCAAATGATGTTTAGCTTTTTATGTCAGGTTCGTGCATCATAGAAGCTCTGCTCTGTGCTAGCTTTCTGAAAGCAAAAGAACATCTACAAAAAAAATTCCATTTTTAGCCTATTATTCATACTATATGTTTCTGGTCCTTATTCATATGCAAATGTCCTTGCCTTTGTTTTCAATTAACCTTCAGACTAACTTCTGACTGTCCTAATGCATTTGCATGATTTAAAGATTGCATATACCATCATACCTCTTCACAAGTCAAAACTACACATATGATTCAATAAACAAATACTTAATGTTTCCATCCACCAGTGTAACACTATACAAACACAATTTCTTCTTAAAGTGCATTAAATCAAGTCTCGTTGAACTCCCTCCACCCCTTTTTATGTAAGACAATTGGTATTAGATAGCCTTTTTGGCAGTACAAAACAAACTAAATAAATAAACACAAACAAAACAATATGAATGTGCAGGGAGAGGACTAGTACAATAAATTAAGGATTAAATCATGATAAGCTTGACAGATTGGAGGGACATAGAGAAGGAAAGAGGGGGAGAAAAGGAAGAGCGAGCGAGATAAATAGAGAATTAAAATAAATGTAGAAAATGACAATTATGAACATGATACTCAAATCTAAAACAAATGCAGAACTCACTCACTTGAAAAGCTTGTTTTAACTTAGAGAGAACATCACTTTTAGCTTCACCATTAGTCATGTCAATGACAGAAATATGTAGTCTAGCTGTCATATCCCAGTACTGTTCATCATGAGAAAAATCTCTTTTGAGATCTTTCAATATCTCTGACCTAAGTTCATCTGAGTGAGCTAAATCAACAGAACCCAATACTTCCAAGAAACGTTTTCGCAAGTTAATACTTGATGGAAGAGCCTTTGTTGCTTCATGGTATATAGCTTCAAGAACCATGGAACCTAACTGCCAAAATATGTTCCTATGATTAGTGAGTATTGTTGATTTGATGCTTATTGGCTGCTTATTTGCTCCTATCTATAAATACGCAGGACATAAGTAGTGCATACACAGCACATATGCAGTGTCTACGCAACATCCGAACGATGCTCTATCTTCGGACTCCGCGCAGAATAATTTCTCATTATTTTAACCCTTCTCTAGCAAAAGCCACGCTAACTCTAGGCCTGTGGCTTCAACTTGCGACTAATACTATGTACATATTAGAAAGCACATTAATCATAACTGTCATTAACAGTTGCAATTTTTAAGGTACAAAATATGTTTCTGTTGACGCGATCTTGATTCAAAGCCAGATTCAAAAGGAGTCAGAGTGCTGCAGGAAAAAATGATAGTATGAATCATCTATAATCCCATAGTACTAAAGAAAACGAAAGGTTTTGTGGGAGTTCAATACTCGTTTTCTAGTTGCCTGGAAACCGGGGGGCTTAGTTATCAGCAAACTGTAGAATATCTGAATTATCAATTTAAAAACTGCAGCACTCTAAAGTCTAAACCTTGCATGGGATAAAAACATTGATGGAGATGTTAAAAAGTTGTATTTCATTAATTCCATGAAGATGACAAACTGCTGTGGGTGATAGGATAGTGTACCGTCTCATCATTCATCATTACAGGGAGCAATTAATAGCTTGGTTTTCATTCTGGTAGGAAATAATTCAAACTATCATATCTGATGACTGTGGTTTGTCTATATATTTTGAAGCATTAATAGTTCAAAAACATATTCCTCTATACTATAAATAAACGTTTTTTTTTTAATCTAATAAAACCATCAATAGTACATTGCCCTTAGCTATATAACTTAATGATAGAAACAAAAACACTCAATTTATCTAATCAAGTTCTTAAAAATTTCCATTCATGCAAACCAAATGATTCCACATGGATGGATATCTGATAGATTCAATGAAACTCTTAGCTCGTTCATATCCATCCCTCACATACCAAGAATGTGCAGCCATATGTAAAATTGTCAGAAAACATCATGAACGCCAAAAGCAAACATTTTAGGTGCCAAACGAAGCATACTAATTCAGGCATTTGCAAACTGCCAATTTAACTTAATAAAATAACATAAAAGACACGTATCATCGCAAAATCAGATAGTTTTTAAAAATAACTAGCAAAAGAAAAAAAACTAAAAAAGTGCCAAAACTAACATGTTGATCAAGACCACTTGTCTATCAAAAGCTTGAATCTTTTTCTTTTTCCTCACATTTCCCCGCTTGACAGGAGGAGCAAGTTTCGGATTTAAAACAGGAGAAGGTATCACTGCAACAAACAAGAAATCAATTGTAGAAGGCAATTGATGAATAAATTGTCATCCTTCAAAGAGCACAGACAGGGAAAGGAATCCTTAGTCAACAACGATGTGTACACCATGAGGGATGGCATGTATAAAACAGACAAATTAAGTCACGTTTGTATATCAAGGCTTTCTTTAGGACGGCTTTCTTATTGCTTCTTAAAGCGGCTTTTTAGTACAGATTTTTTAATTTTTTTACTAAAAATCAGCTTTAAGAAGCAGGAAAAAAGGCGTCCCAAATGAAGCCTAAGAGAGAAAAACTAACCAGCCGATGTTTCAAGGTAGGAAAATTGAGTTTATTTGAAGATGTATTAACCAGCTGTTCGGCACAATGGGAAGATCCCCCTTCAAGAATTGATATATCTTCCGATATTGTTGAGAGACTTTGTCTCTTGTTAATTGTCTGACTGGACTCTTGGCCAGTTTGAATGTTGCCAAGAGCGCGAACATCTTGATGGGGATGATCAGGTTCACTAAGCATAATTTCAACATCCAGAGTTCCTTGTTGTGTACTGCTTCCATCAGGAGCCTTCTTAAACGTTACCTCATTCTCAGTTGGAGCATTACTACTTAAAAAATGTCCCCGAGGGCTTAAAATAGATTCAAAGCCAGCTTCAAAAGGAGGCAGAGTGCTGCAGGAAAAAATGATAGTATGAATCATCTATAATCCCATAGTACTAAAGAAAACGAAAGGTTTTGTGGGAGTTCAACACTCGTCTTCTAGTTGCCTGGAAACCGGGGGCTTATGTTTGTTGGTTGGGGAGATGAAATCAGCACATTTGTTGGACGAGGAGATAGATTCAACCCATTTGATAGTCTAGGTGATAGATTCAGCCCATTCTCCTATGTATTTAAGGAAGAATACGGATAATATTAAAATTCTTTAAGAAAAAGGAAATGAAGAAACTATAAATCAGATAAAAGAAATAAGACCTCGCTGACAGAAACAGCCACATATTGCTCTTCTTCCACTGGAATTTGATCTGCAAATGGGATAAAAATCTATTTAAATTTAATTGTATTATCATAAAAAATAGATGTTAATAAGGAAGTGCTAAAGCGACAGCCAAAAGCAAACCTTTCATGGTGATTTGGACTCTATTTAAAGAGGCAAGGGACCAAATTATTACTTTCCTATAGTGGAAGACTATTTTGGTCCTTAATAAAAAAAATTAGAGAACCAATACGATCTTTTTCTTAATAAGGATAATATAAGATTGGTCAAAACAATTATAGGATATGAAAATTATTTCTCTTTCTGTCCACGAACAATATCTACTTGAGTTTCATACAAATCATAAGAGAAGCTTGAAATGTTCAATACAGATGAAAACCTGTGTTCTTTAAAAAAAAAATCAAGTGAAGAATAATAATGTGTTTAAATAAATAAAGTCGGAACTCATAAAAGGACAGAAAATCAAGGATGAGATGTTAATTGCAAGTGAAGCATCTAACTTGAAATATGAATGTGAAGCATAAGCTTCAATTTTATATAACTTTCGGTTCATTGCTTTAATTCGCCTTGGGAGACAGACTCCCATCAAACCTCAAAAAGGGAAGCCTTCAAGCAGGTTTTTTAAAAGCCATGCTTGATATCCATAAGGAGTAGAAACCAAGCAGAAAAATATCAAATATCAAATGCATGATTTAGGAGAGAACTAGTCTGGGGTTTTTACTCAGATATTGGATGGATTTTTTCTCACGGGAATGTGCCAATTAACATTGTGGAAGTATCGGGTGATGGTAATAGATAAATATTGATGAATTTTGGTTGTCTCCTAGGAGGACAATAACCAACTTACTCTTATTCAGATATCCATGCTATAATCTTCAATATAAGAATAAAACAATCCATTTCTTCAATCTCATAAACTAGGTGACAGACAAGATTTCTCCAAATTTAAGATCACTCATCATGCATTAGTTGCATTGAATAATTTATTTGGATGATTTGACTATATGATAAGAGAAGCTTAATTTTCACTACAATTTCAGATGGGATTTTCTAGATAATTAGCACATGTTTGATACTTTTTATTTATGCAATCTACAAGAAACGGAACCATTTCTTTTATGGATTGCGGGAAGGTGGGGTGGGGGAATCCACAAGGTGTTGGTTCAGCCACATTTTTTACCCGATCTGCAGTTATATAATTATGATGCTTATGACACTAGATATACAAGCACTTTTCATGTTGTAGATTAAATAAAAATATATATTTTGAGCTTAAAAACTAAAGAAGATGGTTAAAACATATGCATGTTACCAACATCACCATCAGAATTATTTTAACCATCTAGAGTCAGCTTTGTAAATCATCATACTCCACTCATTGAAATTAAGTGCTACATGAGGTTTTAATTCTCACTACCTAACTTTCTAAGCAGGTTAACGTTGTTCTATCCATTTCCTTCTTAATCATTCCATATTCATGTTAACCTCTGTATAAACAAAACAAAAAAGGGGAAGAAGTCATGAATCCCGCGTACATAACTTGCGCTCGTCGGATCCACGAAATCCTCCGCGATACCTGCCAAAATCCCGCCGAACCACTGTGCATTCGGCGCCGTTCCGGGATTCCTGATCGCAGAGCCTCGATCGCTGCACTTCGACACCTTTAAAAACCGACCAAGCAAAGCCTTCGCGTCCCATTCACTACCCCTTTCCCATTCGCTACCCACACGAGGGCTCCCTCTATCCCGATTCCCTTGCTTCCTTTGGTCCAGAGAAAGAGAGAGAGATAGAGAGAGAGAGAGAGAGAGAGAGAGAGAGAGAGAGAGGAGAGAGTTTTCTTCTTACCTCAATAGAAGCCATTGTCGAACCCCAAGCAAGCTCCCGTCGCCGCTTCTGACATCCCAACTCCAATCGCAAGCCTTCCAACCACACCAAGAAAAATCCCCTAAACCTAGCTGAACTCACCAGGCTCCTTTTCTACCTGTTCCAAACCCAATCCAGCCAACTCATCTCTGCCTATCAACTCCCTTAGCTGACCCAGGTATAATTCTTATTTTATTATTGATATTTCTCTTACTTACTAATTATCATTATCATGGGTATTATAATAGTATTTAATCAATTACTATTATAATTATTATAATAATAATCATTATTATTATTAGTATTATTACAAAATAATAATAATGAAAATAATAGAAAAAAAATCGCTCATCTTGCTCAAGCTCCGCATATGTTTAATCTAATTAATAATCCTTGATCCCTAAAACTCTGAGAACACGCTTTCGACGCTTGCAACGCAACAAAATGACCACCTATACACGCTTTTCTTAGAATGGTGGGAGGAAGTTCGTTGCAGTGCTCTCGACGAATCGGGTGATCACCTAAAGTCCCTTATTCAGAGTTCGTATCGCACCGGAAAACCACCTATGAATGCTTTTCTTAGCGTAGTGGGATGTGAACTCGGTGCGATGCGTACGGCAAAGTATGAATACCAATAAGTACCCACTTGCGGGGAAACAACTTCTTTACTTTTACAACAGGTACTGAAAACCCATACACACTTTTCTTAGCGTAGTGGGGGATAAAAAAAATAATACGGCCGTGATGTCCTCATCCGAGGACACCTACCATACATGCTTTTCTTAGCAAGGTGGAAAAGATCTAGTTTCCCGTAGTTTGGCCCTAAACGAGGGAGACGCCGGGAGGCTGCTGAAATTTTGGGTAAACGCAAGAACGTACTTGGACTTGATTTGGATTTACTCGAACACAAAGAACATGAACTCAAATATGAATAAATTTGAACTTTAACAAGCAAATGTGAACATGAGACTTGACTTGGACCTGATTTGAACTCAAAAAAATAAGAACTTGGACTCAAATGAACTAACTGCAGTGGACTTGAACTTAATTTAAACTCAAACAAACAGTAAAATTTTGGACAGCAGGGGACTCGAACGAATGGAAGAGGTTCATCAAGAACTTGAACTATACTTGCACACCAAACTTGTGGTTGAACAATAGAAGACCTGATTGGAAAAGACCACAAGGAGCTCGAACTAGTCTTAAATCTAGACTTAAACATCGAGTCTAAATAACGTAAATAATGACATAGAACTCAGGCGACTAGTAAAGAACTGAATTTTGAATCATTAAATGCTTGGTCAAACATGCAATTACTAGATGAAAATCATGATTGTTCAAACAAGGATCGATTGAAAGACTTATGGCTCTCTCATAAGCAACAATGCAAAGATCTTCAAATAAGTAGCCCCTTCGATCATCTAAATGTATTCAAATCAATGTCACACATTCAAACAAGGATTCATGCATAAGTCGAATATAAAACTCTAGCATGAAATTTTTGGATTACTATACGTAACTTGTAAGAGTTATGTGGATTAGAATAAAGACATTGATGATAATATCAAGTTCCTTACACTTGCTATAAATCACCTTTGAAGGCCAAGAACCCGCAAGTGGGGATTTGGTTGCAAATAACAAGAAATGGTGAAGTTATGATATGAAGATGTAAATGAATGTATCAATTAACTTGAAGGCAGATAATGACAAGGGCATCTACAAACAAATGTAGATGACCTTTCATGTATTCAGTAGTCTGCCTATGAATGACAACGAACAAAATACAGAAGACCAACTAGTGCAAAAGTTCCTATGACCCAAAGCAAGAGATTAGTTAGGGCACTACGATCCACCTGCAGAAAGTAAGTAGTGCATGACTGTCTACCTGTGCAAAGAAACGAACAATTCAATTCAGAAGCTGCTACGCCACGCCACCGGATCCGTAACATTCATATAAGCGGATACGCAACATTCACAAAGGGCTAATGCCTAATCGAGAATATCACTAGGATTCATTCTCAAATAGTCTCCTGCCAGTAAGGATGTGGTGCGTGTCCTCTAACCGGGGGTTTTAACGCTAAATGGCACCGCAGAATAAACGGTTATGACCCGGGACCCTCTGAACCGAGTGGTTTTGCCGCCAAATGGCACCAGGAAATACCGGTTATGACCAGAGCCAATACGCTCATCAAATCCGTGAGATATGAATCAATAGGATATAATCGATAGGGCACCAAGCCCTCTGTTAGCTAAGGAGAATTCAAATTTGTCCCCTTAGACAAACATTCACCCCAGGTCTACAAGGTTTCCTTGGACGAAGCAACCCATGGCTGCCGACAATGATCTTTCTATCAGGTTCGGTCGACTACCTCCTCTGACTAGTAGACTAGGGACCATAATGACCCGGGATGACGGAACCATGGGATCTTGATCAGGTCCATCATCCATTCCCCCACCATCCGCTTTAAGTGAAATATGGTGAAATTTCTATTTTAAATATCAAGTCTTCAAATTTCCAAACATCCAAACTTTTCAATTTCAAATGTTCATGCTGCTACTATACGTTTGATACTATGTATCTATGGATGCAACATATCTGATTGACAACTAGCCATAATCGAAAGTTCTCTCTCATTATCATGAGGGGTAATTAACTATAGGGGCTTGCGTCTATAGGAAACCAGAACCCAGATCATAAAGTCCTCACAAAATGAGGTAGAAATCTCTAGGTAGTGTCTTATCTACAAACTCATCTGACTTTCAAAATTTACCCCGAAAATTATTCCGTTAAAGCTCCCCCGCAAAAAAAAGCAACAATATCGGGCGGAGGTCGGGGCTGAATTTTTGGAGCCCACAATTCATTCTAGCTACTTGACTTAGTAATGAAATTTCTATCCTCTTGATGCATAAATGGATGAAGTAGGTAAGAATCTCTGCTTGCCTTTGCGCAATTCCACCCAAAAACGCCTCATAACCTACGCAATTTTGTGCCTTTAAGAGGCGTACGCCTCACTGGGGCTGAGGCGCGCCTCAGAGGCGCAATTGCACAACTCCTGGTGAGGCGTACGCCTCTCTGGGATAGGGCCCACTCACTTAAAATGAGCCCTTTTCTCTCCTTCAACCCGATAGCCTTCAGCAAACCCGACATTTCTCCCTCCCGCGCGCTTCAGGTCGCGACTCAGAGATCCCGCACGCCGTCGGCCTTGCTTCCCGCCGCCTCTCCCGCCGGCGCCGCCTCTCTCCGGCGAAGTGGAAACTTCCGGCCGCCCTCTAGGAGTACTCCACATTGGATTTTAGGTATTTTTATTAAGTTTAGGGCTATATTTTTCAAGTTTAAGAAAAACTAGGGTTTAGGTTTTTTTTATTTTTTTTTGTGTATTTGGTTTTTTGCTTTAGGAGACATGGTTAGAGGTAAAGAAAAGACGAATACGTCATTGCGGAGGGACCCTTCTTGGAAGTATAGTGTACAAGTTGACATTGGCGGCGGAGAGAAGATCTATGTTTATTTGAAATGTAATTTTTGTGATAAAGTGGTGAAGGGAGGTGTTACCCGCATGAAGGAACATCTATCATGCTCGCACAAAAATGTAGCACCCTGTGCAAAAGTGCCGGACAATGTGAAGGAAGAAATAAGTGCTTACATGAAAAAAAA